CCCCCGCTGTCGTAGCAATATTCCACCCCACTTCAAGCACTGCCTTACACTTATTACAATTCAAAGCCATCTGCTATCTATTCCTTCAATTCACCAAATTATTTAAATCCTTTTATAAAGCAGCAGCATCCTTCTCATAGCCAGCAACATAATACAACAATTATCAGCAAATTGAATTAATTTATTGATCATTCCTTCATTTATGTCACTGATAAAATCATAAAGGGCAAAGTTCATTTTGTATAATACCTTTTATGTCACACCTTGTCAAATGCTTTCTGAAAATCCAGATACACCAAATACACACCCTTAACCTAATAATGTACATAAAAATGTCAAAAGATTAGTAAGACAAGATTTTTTCCTAATGAAACCATGTTAGCAATCCAACAAAATTTTTAAGTTTTTTAAATGAATTTGCAAAGCATCATTTATCAGATTTTCAAAAACTTTTCACAGCACTGATATTAGACTTATAAGCTTATAATTAACAGGACAAATTTTATTTAACTCCCACTTAAAAATAGGAGGAGCCTTAGACAACTTCCAATCATCTAACACCTGCCCACTATTCAAGGACTTGTACAAAATAGTAGCAAAGTGGCTCACATGTCCAATCCTTAACCTTCTTCAAGACCCTTGGGAAAATATCTGGTCCAGAAGTCTTATTGTTCTTTAAACATTCCAATTTTTTCTTAACAAGCTTATAATTGATGAGATTACTTTATTCAAACATGTTTCCTTCTAGTAATTGTTCAAAAGGATGAATACCACTTAAATATTCATTAGAAAAAACTGAAGGAAAATTTGAAATATCTAAACCAGCCATCTCATAACCATCAGAAGTAACCTTCCTTTATCATCATTCCTCAAAAGCCTTACTCTCATCCTAACATTTTGCTTACCCTTAATGTACTTAAAGAAATCCTTAATATCAATTTTTACATTTTAAACCAACCTTTATCATATACTCTTTAACACTGCCTAATGTCCTATTTTACCAACACTCTTGATCTTCTATAATCCTCCTTCAAGTCTCATGTCTTAGTAGTCAATTTAAACTTCTTAAGTTTATAATGCCTTTCTTTAATTTGATCTCTTATATTCCAATTGTGCCAACCTAAACTTTTACTTGCAGCCACTATTCTTTTTTCTATAACAAACATGTCTTATAGAAATTATCTGGGAGACTCTGGTCCCTAAGAGTGCTTGGAGATGTACAGCTGAAAGCAGTGAAGCTTGGTAAGATTGGAGCAGGATATGCCATTCTTGATCGTACATTGCTTGGAGATGAAAGATGGGCTATATCAGAGTGAACACAATACTTTAAATGACATATTCAGTAGTTCTGTAGATAAACCTAAAATCCTATTTGCTTTCCTATTGAAAACAACACACTACATGGAAGACCTAAGATACTGATCAACCAATACACCAATATTCTTTTCTTCTATACCAGTATTAAGTTTATTTTCATCAAGATGGTAATAACTTAGCATACTTAAAAGTTAAATACCATCTGCCATTTATTTTCCCAATTTGCCTATTGTTCTAAATTCCTTTCCAAAACAATCTCCTTGAAAACCCTGTGGTAAACCTAATGTAGTTGTGTTGCTTTTCCTTTTGCCATTAACCTCTCAGTATTTATACTTAACACCATCAGATTAATATTTACATGATTCAGATCATGTCCAATATTTCCCAGAGAATGCTCGGGTCAGGGATATTGCTAATATCTTCTCTTGTAAAAACAAAAAGAATTTAAAAACACAACCATCTCAAAATCTTAAACCAAACTTACCTACCTTAAGATACTTGAAAAAAATTCTTGTTAATAGTTTTAACACTACCAACAAGCTGTTTCTCATAAGCCCTTATTCATTTTGCTAATTTCGTTTTTAACCAAATATCCAGCTTTATTATAATTATGTAAATTGACATTTATCCCTGATTTTTTCATGTCTTTAGTATGCCAATTAGGTCTCATCTTCACTGTTATTTATTTCCCATTTTTAGGAACATACTGTTACGTATCTGCTTGTTTGTTAATTTCCGGTATAAATTATTTCCGAGGAACTTCAATGATACAAGTCCTTTCTTGATTAAAACTAGTTTATTCTTTCTCGATACAACTTTTTAGTAAACAGAATTTCCATAATCACTTTAAACTTAACAACCTTTATAACACACGCTATAAAACACAGTGATTCACACACTTTACTTACAGTGCCTACTGTTCGCTTGACTCAATTATCTATCACTTCAATATCTATCTATATCTCTTCAATCAATCACCCTGCAGGCTTTATCTGCCAGGCTTATATTCTAAAAAAGGGGCGTCCCGAACGCATTAGGAAATTCATGATCATTTGAGAAACTCATCACGTGTTACCAGAGTCACTTGACTTCCACTGTCGTAACAATACCTATCATTGGGTTCTGAAAGATGGTGAGCTATGCTTGAGCAATGAAGCTAGGGCAGCTCTGGTGGAGGCCTGCAGCAATTCTTATGTGCAGGATAAGATATCGGAAATAATTTTCTCATGAAAAAAAAAAAGAGTTAGAGCACATCTGACTGGTGTTTAAGATTAAGATCTGTCCTTAAATGTGTGGTACTGGATGGGACCCATTTCCCAATAAGTAAGCCCAAAATAGCAGCAGATTTGACAAGGTCTATTGCGAGCATTCTTTAGAGGATACTCACCAAGTGTTTTCTCTTTAAGGGTAGGATAAGGATACCAGACAATCAAAAATCTTTATTGTGCTTATAAACAAAAAAGAAAAACCTTGCAATAGATTGCTTAATTTTGCAGATGATAGGACAGTCCTTTCTCCTCTAGTTGGTGTTTAGCCTTGTTGCTGCTCTCTCAGGATTGGTTGCCCAAAAACCATACGATGATCTTCTAAAAAGAGAGAGCAGGTCTTTTTTGTAGATTGACTAGTAGAGAACTGAACTAAGAAAGCATGCTCAAATCTAGATTATCAACTCACTTTTTTTGTCGAGTGGACCTCCTGATTTCTATTTCCTGAGAGCATTGATAAGTTGTCCCTTTTGGTCATCATAATCAACCAACTAAAAATATCTCAGTTCTAAACTGTTCAACCCAGATTCCATTTACAATACTGAAACATTCCTGCAGACAGAGGAGACATCATTTACTAAAAAAACAAATATACAGAGCAACTATAATAAGACAAAGTTAATGACTTTCTGGACCACATGTTGTTGCAAAGATATTTTAGAAATTAAGCAATGAATAATTTTGAAAATGTGTATTTCATTACAGAAGATAGAAAACCCATAATAAGCCTACAGATCACAAGTATTATGTTAAAAGCAATTTATTTTCAAAATTTCTCAAATCTGTCCCACATTACCTTGTAACTCATTATCCCACTTCACTAATAATAAATCTTGTCACATGGCTTAAAAACTAGCTTTTTAAAGATTAGGAACTAAAATTTCATTTATTTTTATTTAAACATGCAACAAAACCTCAAACCTAATTATGCAATGATCACTCTTCCCCAAATGTTCTCCCACTTCAGTTCTTTTAACCGTATCCTCATTAATCAAATATGTAAAGGATTGGTCCAACTGAAGAAGGAATGTTGACTATAATTCCAAATTTGCTGTGGCAAGCTTTTAGTTAAATGTACAAGTCTGTTGTACACAAAAAACAGATGTGCTAAAATGTACTTGTGAAATGATAAAAAAGTCAATTTGACTGAGGACTCTAAGAAACTGAAATGCAAGGTGATGTTCATTTGAAAAATAAAAATACTTTTGTCCATTGTACAGTTTGCATATTGTATTTGTATAACCTCTAGGACCTCCAAAATGTATATCTACAGATTTTTTCAGTATCCCTGTATACTGTATCTAGTATTTAGTTTCCTCTACCATGAACTGTCCCTAAATCAGCAATGTAAGGTAAAACAAGTAGTTGATAATAGTTTATAACATCAGATACCTACCTTGTTGGATTGAATAGTACTTTGTAAAAGACTTTGAGCCCAACCCATACACAAAGAGTTAATGGATAACAATACATTTAAAATGGCATCCTCCTCTGGTTGTTTCTCTGACCATTTGATATAGAAAACTATTCCAAATCATTTCAACTTAAAGAAATCTCTCTCTCTACCTCACTAGTTGACTCCAGACAGTCATAACCAATATGTCTAAAATTAAATTTTCTCATATAATTACTGCATTTGTGTTCTTATTAATAACAGTATTAGTCTTATTATACAACTTCTCATTAACATCATCTGTATGATCACAAGAGCTATAACAACTGCCATTTGACTATGCAAAAAGGCTTGCATTAAAAGAAAAAAAAAGTCATGAACTTGATCTTTTTAAATGTGAAAAATTAGAATAAGCTTGATTAATTATTTGAAGTTGGAATAACCTTCCTATTTAAGTGATGGATTGAAAATGCTAGATACCAATTTTAATATTTATTAGAGCTAATAGTCTTAAATTTCATTTTGTGGATAGATGTAGGGATGCTATAGGCTCTCCAGTATCATAATTTGGGAATTCTTATTTTTTGCCATTTCTGTGGGTGAGAAACAACTTTAATGGAGCTGAATGGCTTTCTCCACCTTGCCTTTTTTTTTACATTTTTATAACCAAATGTGATACCCAAGTACAGTATTAAATGTTTACATAAACATTTTATCATTAAGTATGCATTAAATACTTTTTTAGTTTTTAGCATTACTATGTATGTAATTTGCTGATATTATGAAAGAGGCAGATTGGTGTTTGATAAAATGAATGGGACAGCTAGGATCTAAGAGGCCCTTTGTTGTGCCTCAAATATCATGTTACGTCAGTCAACAAAATTGTCCAACAAATGTTCAATGCATCTGTCAGACAACAAGACAGGTTTATGTCCAAATATCTAACTCTGAACACTAATTCTAACAATAACTCAAAAAATTAAAATTTGCTTGAAATTGTTCATAAACATTGGAATAAATCTAACCTTTCTACTTTTCTGTTCATCCTTGTAGAAACTGTAAAACAATTTTCTTTGTAGATATCCCAGCCCACTAGTTGATTTTCCTGGTTTGTAGTAACTGGCCACATATTTTTATCTTGAAAAATAAAGTTGTGGTTAGCATTACCCTCACTCCAAATGCCACCCAATTGTTCCAAAATTTCTCTTCTTACTTCTGAAACACTAACATTCAAATCCACAAAAATAAAGCCAGCTGGTTGAATAACATTATTTTCCCTTACAAGAACTCCAATACGTGGTTTATTAAATTGTCGTCTTATTCGAATAAGGTTCATGCTGTCTACAATTTCACAAACTTTCACACAGTGTTCTTGTGTTTTTAACAGCTCACAATCATTTCTTGATAAAAAACAATAGTTTGTGGGAAGATTTGGTGCATAATTTGATATGAGAGTTCGTAGACTATCAATAGTACAAGAGGTGTTTTCTACAAGAATATTTACAATAACATCATATGTGGAAATAAAGTTCTGATTGTTTAAACTTCTGTAAGATGTTAATGGTAGGGTTGAAATGTTTGAAGAACCACCAACAGCAGAAGTATTAATAGTTTTAAATGTCTCACCTACTAAAACTACACCAATCAACTGCCGACTTACTACTGTCTTTATATTGTGGTTGGCACCTGGCATGTTCCCCTTACGATTGCTTCTTCTAAAATTCTATTAATATTACCACTTACTAGTGACAAGTAATATAAAGAAGTATAAATTATTACTAAATATTAGTAGTAATACTACAACTTTACTAGTTACAATACAACTGATCAATATTGTTGATGTCTGCACACAGAATCTTTCTTTCCTTACAATTACACCGAGACTGTTAAAACTTAATTATCAATTTTACAGTTTTGGTAAATCAGGTCATAAATGATAAAGTAATAATTTCACCTTAACTGGTACTGGTAGACATACATACTATAACTATATTAGTATTAGTAGTACTAGACTTATATTATAGTTATACTGTTATAGTTATACATATTTCAATGAAATATACTTCTTTAACTTCTCAATGTAGACCAAATTACAGCTAACATCACAACAGAATATATTACTATTAGTCATAGTAATATTAACAAGTAACACTTAGGAGTTAGTAATAGTGACAACTAGTAGTAATAGTTGCTTTTTACATATGCCTGTTAGCCCTAATTCTATATTATAATATATATATTAATAATAATAGTACTATTGTTAATACAAATACAATAACATTAACAGCCAACCTAAGATCTAAAAAATGATCAGCGAACACTTAGCAACAGTGAGGTAATAAGACTAGGGCACCCTTTTCAAGTTTTTGTTACACTTAAGAACAGCAGGGTCTATCCAATTTTCTTACTGTAAAGTGCTACCTATCCTTCCTTTTTCTATTCTCATTAGAAGTACCACTACCAGCAAAACACGTCCCATTCATTTGACATGTGCGGCAACACTCCTTTACTAAAACCGGTATACTGCCAAATTCCATCCCTCTTCAATTCTAAAACCCTTTGGCAGTAATGCGCATGCGTATGACGTAAGCGAGACACTATCCAAATTCTATGAATTCCATCCTTCAATGTAAGTTCTACTCTTGTTCTAGCCTTATTTTACTTGTAATTTATGTGTGTTATGAAAATTATTGTAGGAAATATTAATGTAATTTCTTTAATCATTATATCAATCTTTATTAATGTTTGCTTCATTTAGTGAAGGTAATTTTTTGTGTACTTGCTTTAGAGTATAAATACTGTTACGTCTCTGGTCGTTAGTTAATTTTCTGTATAATTTATTTCCGATGAAACTTTAGCGACACAAGTCCTTTCTTAAATAAAACTAGTTTATTCTTTCTCAATACAACTTTGAAATTCACTTAATTTCCACGGTCACGTTATAAGTTAAACAAACGCTATAATTCACAACGAACGACTCACGCGCTCGACCCAACTGTCCGTCTCTATCTCTGTCTGCAATTCAACTACATTATTGTAAAACGTTCAGTGTTGAAGTTCTAGGCTTATTTTCACTATCTAATATACTATTAATAATACTGACTGTTATTTGATTGTGAATTTTTCTCTTTCTCACCAAAATGTGAATAAAGTAAGGATCCAGGAATGATGTAGTTTTTGTTTCAAATCTTGCAAATTGTTGAGGTACTATCAGCCTAGTATAAATAATATAATACTGTTACGTCTCCGTTTGTTAATTGATTTTTCCG